TTGGGAATATTCCAAAGACAGCTTACATAGCTCCATTATATTCTCACAACAAGAACCCTGTGAGGTAGGTTAGGCTAAGAGAATGCCAGGCCCAAAGTCACCCAGTGAACTTCACAGTTGACTGGGGACTAGAACCCGGATCTCCCAGGTCCCCAACCCAGCACTCTCAGCCCCACATCGCTCTGGGTCTCCAATAAACTCCATGACTGAGGCAGCATGATAGCAATATAAAAGTCACATGTGGAAGTACCCACACTACCACTTCCTGGAAAACATGGACTATTTTTGCGGGTGTAAATATTAGCAACAAGTGTTTTAAAAGTTCCAGCTAACAAAGCATCAACAAAAACATCAGCACACGGTGACTGGATGCTCTCAACATAACAAGCCACGGCGTGCATGTGGGGGGCATGTTTATTATTTGCTGTGCAGTCCAGATCCATTTCAGGATGGTAAGTTTGGTTCTCAGAACCCCTGGTTGGTGCTTTGGTTTCTGCTTACCACCGCAGTTTGCCGGGTCATCTGATCCCTGACAGGACGGCCCATTGTGGCGTGAAACAAAAGAATTGACTGGGACAAGCAGCTGCTGTCACTCTTGCCAAGTGGCTAGCTGGAGAGTTCTGCTGATGGTAGCCCCAGTTGGGTACGGCTGCCCGAGGCATCTGACTCATAGCTGATGGGTGACCAGCTGGACAATGCTGTGAGAAGGGGAAGAAATCTTTCAAATGCAAGCAGGAGGGCAGAATTAGCTGGGTGGCAGTGCTCTCGACTGAGACAGCATGTCTAATTTGATATCTCCCCCCTGCTTGCATCTCAGATAAAACGGAGGGCATCTGTCGGGCACCACCACCCAGCTGATTGCCTCACCCCTGCTCAAGCAGCTTTTCTTTGCTCAGGAGAGGAGAAGAGAGAGGCTGGGCTGGGACTTGCTGAGAAGGGGACATTCCTGCCTAGCCCAGGCTCCCCTTCCCTGCTGCAGAGAAAGCCTCTCGGGCAGGTGCCCAGATGATCAGCCTCACCAGCCTGCTGATGCCTGGGAGACCCTCAGCAGGGAATGGCACTTATCCTTTCTGCAGCCTCACCCTGCTAATTGCCCCCCCATAGCTTTGCCTGGGGGGGGGTCAGGCTCTCCCCCACAGCCCAGATCAGCTCCCCCGTCTGCCCCTCTGAGCTGTGGGGCGTGTGCCCTGTTTGTGCAGCATAGACAGCTTGATAGCTGCAGCAAGCCAAGCAGCTCTCAAAGCGAGGACTTTTGGTCCTTCCCATCTGTCTAGTGGGATAGTACCTGGAGGAAGGAGAGCAGCCAAGAGGTGCCCATCAGAGAACTCATCGTAGCTTCTTGGCACTTGAGGGTAATTGCCAAGGCAGCTGGTCATGATGTGAGAACGAGGTACTGAAAAATTCTGGCGCTCAGGTCTTCAGGTGGGGGTTTGGGGGGGGAGCACTGTGTTGCAATTACCAAGTTGCCCGTGCTCTAATATCTTTAAAAGGCTGTGTCTGTGGCAGGCAGCCTTTATCAAAAGGGATGTATGAACAGGGCAGAGGAAGGTGTTTGATTACAGGGGGGGAAAGCCCCCAGACAAGAAGAACGTGGGGTGTTGGGGGGGGGGGGGACACAGCAGGCATACAGGCAAATAGCTGGTTCATCCTGGGGGATCAGATGGGGCTGAGATCATCAGGGCCACGGAAGTACCTCTGTTTCAGCAAATACCCCTGCTCAGCGGGGCGGTGCTGTGCAGTAGGTGGCCCTACAAAGAATTGTTTCAAGTCCTAGCAGGCTATCCAACACCTATTCAGTCACATTATTCACCAAAGGTTCAAAACGTATTTTAGGATTGTTGTCCCTGAACATAAACTTGTATGTATTTTAACCTGTAGTACACAAGAGGTTCACTGCTCTCTTTTTAGCTGTGATAATTTCCTTTCCAGGAACAAGACAGCGTGCTTGGTAGGTCCTGGTCTGTAGACCCAGTATTAATGAATGCAAAGGGAACAGAGTCCTAAGAAAAATGCCTGTTTGATTATCCCTCTGATCAGTCCCTTTATGTGTTAGCTTTTTCAGCCCCTCCCAGATTTTCAGAAACAATCCACTCAGAGCATATCCTATTTTTCTTTTCCAGTATTGTAGCATTAGCATTATTGCAGCTACTAGTAATAGTAAAATCTGGTCTTTATGCAACTGCTGTTTTTGTCTGTCATTAAAAATAGACAGAAGTGCTAGTATTAGTGAAAAGACCTGGCTTTGCTCGAGGAAAAAAAGAACAAAACAGGAAAAAGGAGCAAGTTAAACACAAAAGGTGAAGGGGGGGGGGCTAGGGGGATGGAGAGTGATTTAAGCAGACGTATCGACCTGGTATATTCCAGATACGTCTGTTTACAAACGGGGATGATGGGAATTGCAATGCAGCATCTGCGGAGAACACTAGGTTGCCGACCTTCCAATAGTTTGCAAGTCCGTTACTCTTGTAGCCAGTGCTTGTTGCCCATGTCCTCTGACGCGCGTTTCCTAGAGATGGTTTACCCCCGCGTCACGGAGTTTTCTGCTCCTAGGTACGTGTGCACGCGATGGAAGTCTTCCAGTAAAATCCTATACACGCCTATTGAAAAGGAAGCTCCGTTGAGTTCAATGGGACATAACTCCCAGACAAGTAAATAACGGATAGAAAGGCAGTCTTACGGAAGAATCCGGAGTAAAGTTGCTCCGAAGTTGGCCCCAACGGGGCTGATTCCCAAGGTTTCCCGTTGCAACGCCACCTTTCTTGATGCTGGGCCTTGCAAATGATTCCAATCGAAAGGGAGCGTGTCTGCGAATCGCAGCCGTAGCAACGTTTATGGAACAAGAAGGGCTACCCTGCCCCGTGCGCCTCCTCGAAACCACCCCTTTTCGGGGAGTGCCTCGGCCTCCTCCCCGCCCCTTGTATTTGCGGGCTTTGCAGCGGGGCGCTTATTTTAGGGGGAGCTGATGAGCCTTTGATCGGAATGGCTGCAGAGCCGGGCGCCAGGCAAAATGCCCCATCGCCCATGGGGCCAGGTAGGAAAGAGAGTGGGGAGTTGCGGGGAGGGGGCAGAGAAGCCAGTCGAGGGAAGGGGCCCGGCGACAGCGACTGCAGCGGGATGGGCGGAGTTTCACTTTCCTTTTCCAGAAATGTTTCCAGCGGTAAATACAGGCCGCTTTGTCGGAGCCCTTCGGCAGATTTGCACACCGGCTCCCATCATGCCCCTGCCAGCACAGTGAATAGTCAGGAATGCTGGGAGCTGCAGTCCAAATAATCTAGGGGCAACCACCGATCCTACGCAAGTTTAGCCTGAAAAATAGTCCTGCAACTCCCAGCAAGACGAAAGTTGTACGACTTTTTAGCTGTGCAAACGTGAACAGGATTGTGTTCTTAACAAGCCTCTTTTACCACGGCGGGATTGCCTTTTGAATGAACATGTCCCGAAGTGCTTGGGGTTCAAGACTTCTTGGAAGCCCCCTTTCTCCGCCCCTCGGAAGCTTTTTTTTAGGATCTTAAGCCATGCGGAGCAAAACCGCTTCAGACGTTATGCCAGTCCTTCACAGAGGCCTCGGGGTATGCTGATATGGATGGCTCTTGATTCTTTCCTTCCAAATTGCCGGTCAAAATTAACCAGGTTTTCGGAATACTTTCAAAAACGCATTAGAATGAGGAGGAATAGTTGGCTATCTTGACTGTGTAATTGGCCCTTCGTGGCAAAGAGATGACTTTTGATCAATGGGGCATAATCCGGTGCATGTTCAAGCAGGGGACAGTTTTGCAAGTCTAAGCGTGGCTTGTTGGGAAATGTTGGATTCCCCCGCGCACGCGCGCACGCACGCACCCCTAACATGCATAGGATTGTGCTTTAATGTTTTCTTTCTAAATGGTCATTACGATGCATTTATTTATTTATTAAAACATTTCTATGCCGCCCCATTCGCCAAAGCCTCGGGGCGGCTCACAACATAAAGTAAAATACAAAAATAACAATATAAAAATAACAATATAAAATAAATAACAATATAAAACAATATAAAAGAAGTCGCCCTGGCCAGATAAAATAAGCAAATACTGTTAACAATTAAAATGATGCTTAAATAAAAAGGTCTTCGCCTGGCACCGAAAAACAAATAACGACGGCGCCAGGCGGACCTCTCTGGGGAGCGCATTCCATAGATTGGGCGCCACCGCAGAGAAAGCCCTCCTCCGAGTACCTAGCCTCCTAATTTCCTTCACGGAGGGTTCCCGAAGAAGGGCCTCTCCCGCAGATCTCAGGGGGCGGGCGGGCATATATGGATGTAAGCGCTCCTTCAGGGAACCAAGACCCAAGCCGTTTAGGGCTTTATAGGTCATCACCAACACCATTCTGATTTCCCATTGCTTGCTGGTGCGTTGTGAAAACACACGCACACCTCTTTGTAATGTATGTCTGTGCATCTGTGTTTAATCTATGTGTCCATCTTGCTCGGTTGAATTACAGCATAGTGTCTTCTGGGACCTTAAAAACTAGTACATTTATTTTGGCATAACCTTTTGCAGACACTCTCCATTCATCAGATGGCAGAATCATTTGCATGCAGGGGAAGCATTAAGGTATTGAGAAGATCCAGGACTCAGGCACACAAGGCAAAAAAGGGGGGGGGGGTAATTTGCACATGCTAATTTACATATCCTCTGAAGTCTTTGTGTGTTTGTCTTTGAAGAGCCCTGCTTCCTAAGGTCACCCCCAAATATAAAAAGGGATGCATGGATACAGTAGAGATATCAGAGAGAAAAGAAACCTCGGGCAGAAAGATTCAAGGGAGGGAAGCAGGAGGGGATGCCCATGTGGGCAAAAAGCCAACTTGCTGAGAGAGTAATGCTCAGTATTAGATTCCTTAAGCTACCCTCAACGCGTTTCTGGTTATGGACTTGTGATATGGGTGTGAGGGTGGAATTGTGAGGCTTCAAGGCTCAAAGAAAACCATTCTCGAATTCCTGGGATCTCAGCAATGTAGGAAGAGGAGGAGGAAATGCTTGGAAGTTAGAAGAAGTGGGAACAAGAGCTAAGAAAATGTTGGGAAATTAAAACCTCAAACTTCTTTTCTTCTCTTCCTTGTCAAGAAACATCTGAGAACATCTCATGCATCCTTCGCATTGGAAAAGCCCTGCTCCTTGGGTAGGAAGATTTGCATTTTGCAATCACATCCTTGGTACCGCCTTCCTTGTGCATGACTCTAGTTCTTCCATCCTCACAACCCTTTCCTCATTCCTTTGATAGATCAGACCCAATCCTTACCTCTTCCAAGGCATCTGGAAGCGCCTTCACTCCATTTGCCCCACCCACCACTTTGTATTAGCCATAGCCTGACATCTCTGCCTGCACAGAACCTCTAGTCTTTCGCTGCCTGTCCTAACCTGAAGTTCGGATGTTCTGGTTGCCCATGCCATCAGTAAGCCCACCTTTTTCAGCTGACCTAGCAGCAGCTGGCCCCTTAACCTGTTTATGCCTTTTTCTTGCAGGTTTATCAAAACTCTCTGGGAGCAACACACAACTTCCCACCCCCAAAAAACCTCAGTGGAACAACCTGGCAGGGAGATTGTACTAAGTGAGGAAGATGTGCCAGATTCTGCCCAGGTCGCCCCCCTGAGGGAGTGCATGCTCCATATATGGCGGGAGCTCAGCAACAATCAGGAAATCACTAGGTACGGGGATAAAAAATAACTCTGATGAGCTGAGCATATGCTCACATACTCATTTTCACACACAACACACACCCCTGGTGGTTCTGGGATGGTACCCAAATGGTCTGTCCCTCTCTCTCTCTCTCTCTCTCTCTCTCTCTCTCTCTCTCTCTCTCTCTCTCTCTCTCTCTCTCACACACACACACACACACACACACACACACACACACCATGCTCTTAATGGTATTTTAGTCCCCTTCAACATTTTTAGCTGCTGTCTTTGCATCTTTTATCTCTCTTTCTTTATTGCAGTTTTCTTGTGGGTATAAATCCCACTGACATTTTCCATGGTAAAACAGGATAATATAAAATTTGAAAGTAACTTGAATAAAATACACTCTGTGAGCTCTACCAGTTGTCTCTTCTCTCTCTCTCTCCTGCCTTTTTTTCTTTCAAGAAACTCAAGGCAGCTTGCATAATCTCCTCCTCCCTCAATCTTATCCTCATGACAACAACCCTGTGAGGTAGGTTGGGCTGAGAATCTGTGACAGGCTGGAAGTCCCCAGTGAGCTCTATGGCTGAGTGGAGACTAGAAACCAGATCACCCAAGTTCCAGTCCTGCACTTTTAACTGCTATACCATATGGGCTTTTCACTTTGAGTTCCTGACCCTGCTTTCTTCTAACGCCACTCTCCTTGCAGCATGGTAGAAAGTGTCACTGGTAACGACCCACTGAAAATCCTGGCGGAGGTGGCTGAATCCTTGTTTGCTACTAGAATCAACTGGGGACGGATCGTGGTCTTCTTCTACTTTGCATATAGAGTCATTGCCCAGGTAAAAACGGGGAGGCAAGGGAAGGTCTGAGGAAGCAGACTGGTTGCACTGACACCCAAGAGGTGCTTTAAAGGTGAACGTGGATTTTTGAATCACGGTTGTGCCTCTTATTCCAAGAAACTGACTTCTAGGGTCACATTTACAATTTGGAGGTTCATTTGAACTGAGGAACACACAAGCAGCTGCTTTCATGTCCTTTCATTATAAAGCTTACTGGGATAGCTTGCGACAGTCACCAGCACATGGCTTAACTTGTCCCACAAAGTTGTTGCCAGGAAAACAAGCAGAGCTCACCCTCGGAGCCGACTTCCCCAAGCTGGTGCCACCCCTGTGTGTTTTACTGTACCTCCCATCGATGCCAGCCTGGCACACTTGTTGGCTGGTGATGGTGGCCGTTGTATTCCCCCACCTCCAGAAGGGCCCAGGCAGGGGGGAGTCCACCGTCACCAAGGTCTTTTGGGCCAGCAGTGTCCTTGGTGGTGGGGGGGGGAGGGAGGATAACCATTGCCTCCACTAGTCAATGTTCAGTGTGTGCGTCAGGGGGAACACTTTTTCTCACCCAGTGCAAATGAATGGAGAAACTGTTCTGTTTGCTTGCCTGAAAGACAGGAGGAGAGGAAAAGAGAAACCAGAGAAAGAGAGAGAGAGAGCAAAAGCGGATGTGTGTGTGAGAAAGAGAGAAGCCAGAGTGAGTAGCACACAGGAAGGACAACATTCACCACAGATAATGGGAGATGCTTGCAACATTCATGCATCAACACCACAGATAAGGGGAGATGCTTGCAACATTTTGTGTTTGGCTTCCTTCCCTCCTATGAATCACCAGTGGTGCTAATAGGACAAAATGCCAGATGTGCCATGGGTTAAAAAAAAAAGTTGGAAACCCCTCATCAGTGCAAGGAAGACTGTAATCCTGTGCATATTTACCTGGTAGTAAAATCCATGGAGTGCAATGGGATTACTCCAGAGTAAACATGTGCATAATTGCTTTGCAAATCTGGAATCCTTTGAAGTCCTAGTGAACCTGGAGTATTAAGTCTGCTGAGCATTGCCTCTGTTAACAATGCTTACTCAGAAGCAAGTCTCTCTGAGTTCAATAGAACTTATGCCCCAGTAAGTACATTTAGGATTACGGTCTAAAACTGCTCCAATCTGCAAGCTTGGCTTTTCTGTCCATTCCTTTTGTTCTTGCCTGAAGAAGGTGTCCTGGTGAACTGTAAAGCTTGCGCACAAGGTTGTGGTACTTCTTGTTTTCATTACTGCCTTGCGCTACCATGAACGTTGGTTTTTATCATTATTACAATGCTGTCTTTCTTTCCTAGTCCTCTCAGAGTTGGTTCAACCGTGTGATAGACTGGGCCATGGCCTTCCTACAGAACCGGCTGGCTGCTTGGATTCAGCAGCAGGGGGGCTGGGTGAGTGGCATTCAGATGGCCTGGTGGTCTGGCAGGGCCTTGAATTACTCTTCATTACTGCCAGGTCTGGGAAGAAGGACTCCTCAGTTCTCAGTGCATGGGGTCCTAACTCTACCTCTGAGCTCCTGTTTGGCTTTGCACACATGAAAACAAGCCAGTGTGGTGTAGTGGTTAGACTGTTGAACTGGGGCTTGAGAGATCCCGGTTCTAGCCCCCCTTGGCCATAAAGCTCACTGAGTGGGTTTTGGATTGTCACCAACTCTTGGCTTAACCTACCTCACAGGGATGTTGTTGTGAGGACAAAATGGAATGGAAAAGGATAATGTATGCTGTTTTGGGTTCCTGGGTAAAAAAGGCAGCAAACAAATGTAAGAAGCGCTATATATATATATATATATATATATATAATGTAACCTATATATATAGGTTTGTTTTCCACTGTGTCCAGTTAATACAGGGACAGGGGATCCATGATGCTCCTGATACATTCTCCATCCCTATATTAGAGGATCTGAGGACACAGAGAAGTGCTGCTGCCAATCAGAATAGGTCGAAAAAAGATTTCTACTGACCGACCCAAATTTAGGTTTCCCTTCAATCACATCTCTGTTTTAGATTTGCCTGTTGTTGTGTTGAGTGGCTGCTAGACACTATAAATCATCCTTTACCAACCCGGCACCTTTCCCTGGATGTACTACAAGTCCCATCAGCACCAGTTGGCACGATGGGCATTGTAGTCCACCACACCTGGAGCATGCTGGTGCATGTTGGATTAATTATAAATCCACTCTTGGTTGTTTCCCATCAAATCCAGCAGGGGGCAGTCATGCCCTGTCTGTCATGAACACATCAAAATTTACGTAGAGGCAGAATTGAGCTTTTCTTGATACAGATATCTGATTTTTAGAACACAGTTTTGGTTTTGAATTTCTTTTAATGCACAAATTACATACAACCTTCAACAAAAGCCCTGATGTGAACAGATATGGCTATTTTCCTATTCAGCCAAAATGTATTTGTTACATTTATACTTCCATCTTTCTACCAAAAATGGCACTCAAGGGAGGATGCAACTGTATGCATATTTAGAAAATACAATTACAATATAAAAACAAAGTAACAAACCAAGTTAAAAAAACCACAGTTATAACACATCAGTGAAAGGCAATGCATAAAAACCTTAACCCGTCCGAATTTTGTTTTAAAGGATTTGCCTGCTAGCAAAGCACAAAAACAGGGAGTTAGGATATCCTCTCTTGTCAGGAAATACCAAATTGTATAAAAACCCTCAGCTGTATAAGAGTATTGTTCATGTCATTACTCTTTTCAGAAAGGGGACCAAAAGCCTCCATCACTGGAGTGTCCAAGAGTCTGGCACAGGTGGGATTTTGCCTTCAGAAACAGGAGTACGGAGGCCAAATTCTCTTTTGGAGAACCTCTGGGAAGCCACCTTATTTATTTATTTCATTTATTTTTCCATTCATTTCCTGCCTTTTTCCTGCAAAGGGCTCAAGGCAGCTTACATCTCCTCCTCCATCTTATCCCCACAACAACAACCCTGTGAGGTAGGTTGGGCTGAGAGTCTGTGACTGGCTCAAAGTCACCCAGTTGGCTCCATGGCTGAGCGGGGACTTGAACCCAGGTTGTCTGAGTCCCAGTCCCATGCTCTTAACCACTACACCACACTGGCTCTCCCTTCCACTGGTGGAGGAGGCCAAGAGCAAAAGAGGCAAAGTGAAAATGCTGGCCTGGTTTTGTCTAAAGTTCTTACTTACACGATTCTTACCTACATGAGCTAAGGAGAGGCATTTCAGCCTTCCAGAATAGGGGGAAATTGTGCTAGAAAGCTGGGAAGCTGCACAGGATGGGCTGTAGGGGAAAGTTGATATAGCCCAGGAAAAGGCTGTCTGTCTGGGAAGGGCTGAATTTGACCCACTGGGCCAGAAGCTTTCCAGTGCTGTCCGACAGACTCAGGGCCATCTTTCCCCAGGCTATGTACCCCTGGGCATAAGGGATACTGTTCTATAATTGTGTACAGTGGCCATGCTCAGATTGGGGCTGCTGATTTTTGTAGCCCAATACATCTTGAAGGAGTTAGGCTGGTGCTAACAGTTTTTGTCCTTTTCCTCTAGATCAAAGATGGAGCCTGGTATACTTTCAGAGGTTTTGGCCTACAGCTCCTCTTGGCACTCTGGCATGGGCTGATGTGAGTGGAAGGCCACAACATCTGGAAGTTGCTCTCCACTGTTCTAGGTTCTCCCCTGCCACTCTTTCATTGAATTGGGAGTCACCCTCCTGCAGCTCTGCTAATGAACCAGTTAAGCTACTAACACCTGTAAGGAGCCTCAGTTCAGAAAAGCAAGGTTCAGGTGACCATGTACCTTCAACCCCACAAACCCCCCCATATCTTGAAATTGGGCGTCTTCCTAAACTTGCTAAAGTTGCAGAATAACTCTTATTTATTTATTTGTTTGTTTGTTTATTTAACATTTCTATGCCGCCCCTTGCCGAAGCCTCGGGGCGGCTCACAGCACAAAATAAAATACAATAAAATACAAAAATAATATAAAATTAACAATATAAAATAAATAACAATATAAAAGAAGTCACCCTGGCCAGATAAATAAGCAAATATTGTTAACAATTAAAATGACGTTTAAATAAAAAGGTCTTCGCCTGGCGCCGAAAAACAAATAACGACGGCGCCAGGCAGACCTCTCTTGGCCGCCTCTGTGTACTTTTCTGCTCCCAATGTAAGTATCTTGGTGAGTTGAACTGACACTGAAATGTTCTCCTTGCTTTTTGAAATTGCAGACTGCGATTTTAATCTACATCCCTTTTTCAAGTTAGAACTGTGGAGAGCGAGCATGGAACAGCTTTGACAGTACCATACAATGCACTTGTGCTCCTGCAGTACGGAGGACCAAAAAGCCTTCAGCAACCCTCTGGGTGGATTTTACTATCATCAAAATAAGAAGGAAGTAAAGTGAAACTCCCAAATTGTTTTCTTTCTGTCTTGTGTTCCTGTGGGTGTAGAACAACTTTCTGCAGCGTGGACTTCTCCAGAATGTAATAAATTCACCATTGTACAAGACGCTGGCTGGTGAGGATGGTAGTTGTCGTCTAACACATCGGGAGGCCACAAAGTTGGGAAGACTAATGTGGAGGGATGGTTGTTAGACATGGGCTAATGAAGCTGCCCAAGGCCAGTCCCTCTCTCTCTCACTATTGCCTACCTTACGGGGTTGTTGTGAAGTTCAGATAAATTTATCTAACCTTACCTGAACCCTTGAGAGAACAATAAACACATTTTCCAGTAACATACTGAACAAAATACCATATCTGAAAGACCCCATGCCCCATTGCAGGACAGGTCTGTTTACTGGAGGGATGTGGAGCCATTTTCAGCTACAAGGGCCAGACTCAATTTTGGAGAAGCTCTTGGGGTACCACATTTCAGTGATGAGCAAAGGGGAAATAGGGTAGATCAAAAGCAAAGTCAGGGCCGAGGTATCAGCATATTTTACCTCAAAGCTCTTATTGTTGGTAACTTAGGTGAAGCTTTTCTATCTTTTGGATTGAAAGAAAAACTGCACAAAAACCAGGAAACCATCCAAAATGGGTGGTCAAGGAAAAGCTGTATGGTCACCTGAGAAATCCCCCTGAAGGCTGTATTGGGCCCATCAACCTAGGGTTCTCCACCCCCACTTTACTATAACAAACCTACTTGCTGGATCTCCAGTTTTTTGTTTTTAATCACACCAGCAACCTGTTGATAAGGCTTAAGGTTACAGATGCAGGACTGGAAGATCAGTCCAGTCTGGAACTCACCCCTTCACCCACAAAAGCACTTTCTTCTAACCCCACAGGTGAGGTGGCCAGCTGTGATTACTGCATGATGTGTATGCCTCATCCTCTTAATAGTTAATACTTCACACATTCAGCTCACTGAACTGACCACTGCATTCTGCAATTCAATAGGTAACAGAATCCTTACTCCACCGGTTTAGGGTTTAGAGGACTCAAGCCCCATATCTAGCCTTTTGAAGAGGACCTTTTGGCCTCAAAAGGCTCATAGGCCTGGTCAAAAGGAGACTGAATGTGTGCGCAGTTTTACTGGAGGGCTGATCTACACAGGTGAGGAATCAAGGTATTCTCTTCATTCTATGCAGCCCCTTCAGTGCACTAATACCTGCCTAATGTTGAAGGAACTTTAACTTCCAATAGTCCCTACCAGTGTGGCCAGGAATTCTAGGGGTTGTAGTGCAAAATGTCTCCAAGTCATGTTGGGAAAGGCTGGTCTAAAAAAGAGAATTAATTACTTTTTGTAAAATAAATAGATAACATTTCAAGCAGCCAGGCTTCAGGACTGAGACATGAGGAGTGGCCCCCATCGGTTCTTGCCCTGGTCCTCTGCCATACAGTGACAGGTAACCTGCTGGACAGGGTCCTTAGGAATCAGCCAGGTGTTTGTACGTTCAAGGTGTCACGTAGAACAAAGGGAGTGCCTTGTTTCTTCATCTCTGCCCTCCAGTAAAGCTGAGCACACATTCAAACCTCTGCCAGCCTCTGGCAAGTCAAATACCCATCCCCTGTGAAATCAAAAGGGAGTGTTATTTTTCTGTCGCACTCAGCAAGAAGCTTTTATGCTGAGAGATTACAGCAAAAGCAGGGGTGGAAGGAGATTAACCCCAAAGATGTCATCTGTTAAGAAGTCTAATTAAACTAACAGAGCCTGGCCTCCAGAACAGAAAGCCCCAGCTCAGCAAAGCTGTGTCTGCTACTGGTGACTTAATTAGTAATTAATAATTTCCATGCCTCAGGACCAATGTTTCAAGCTTTGCTGACTGATCAGTTTATAAAAGCAAAACTCTGTTAGGGAGACACGATAACTGCCCCTGAAGGCTTGCTATCCCATTGCCTCCACTCCGCCAGTCTCCCCAGACTCAGAAAACAAAGATTGCGGGGCTGCTAATGAGAAGCAAGTTGGTACGTGTGGCTGTAGAAAGCAGCAGGATGGGGAGCCAGCTATGCCTTGGACATGTTGACTCCAGTTGATCTAGTCTGAGCCAGTTTCCTGGTGGAACGGAAATGTGTTATATTGCTGGGATAAGCCTCATGTAAGCCTCCGCAAGCTCTCCCCACTCTCCAGCTTCCCTTCCCCGCACTGAACAGCCCAGGATTATGCTGATTCACAGTGACGAAAGACCGAGCCCTGCCCCGTGACCACCACTACGCACGAGGCCCATTCGAGAAGGGGGGAAGCCAGACTCGAGCAGTGGGCCTAGAGGAGTGGCGAAATCTAGTGTGGGTCAGAAGGCAAATGACGGGTAGCTCGTTGGTGCAGCTGGGGTGTCAGGATTTGCCAGCTCATCCTAGATATGTTTACTCAGCAGTCCATTTGAGTTGAGTGTAACTTAGTCCCTGAGAAGTACGATTAAGACTGCAGCTAAGGATCCGCTTGTTTTGGCCTGACATTCTAACCCCTTGTCTGAGTCCTCTAGGAAAAGGGTGGGCATAAAGTAGATCTTGAGAAGTTTGGACATCAGTTCATAGCCTTTCTGACCACTGGTCATGTCGGCAGGACCTTCTGGGAGTTCACACCTCTGGAAATCATCTGAAGAACCTCCTTTCCTCCCAGAGCATCCACAAGAGGCCTCCAGGGATGGTGATTTGCTGGCAGAGAACTGGAGTGGGAGAGATATTTGTGGTGGGAATCCAGAGCAGCAGCACCACTGGCAATCAGATCGGTGGGTCTTTGATTTCACCCTTCGTTCTGAGTTTCCCGAGTTGCAAGTTGAAGCCTTGTAGGTCTAAAGGCCTGGTGGAAATGCCATTTCTGTTCCTCATTTTTAAAGACTGTATCTGGGTAGGAACATTTCGATCTAGAAGTCAAGATTCCCAGGACTTCTAGGAAAGGGACTACAGTAGATTCTGTTTCAGAGGGCAAGATTCTCTCTTCTGGATTTGTCAGATGAGTGTTAAGTTAGGCCTGAAAGTGAGGATTAGGGTAAGGGTTATAAACCAGATCTCCTAGATTTTCTGGGAGAAGAGATGGTTGAACCTTGGACTGCAGAATTCACAGGACTCCTGGTACCAACTCAGGTTGTTCAGAATTATCCTGATTTAAACTGTTATGAATAGGAATCCTTAGAGGGCCCACAGCTCAGTGGTGGAGCCCATGCTTTGCATACAGAAGGTCCTGGGTCCTGAGTATCATTGCTGACCTCACAAAGATGCCTTGGACTGCGGAATCCATCCTTGATTCACTTTTGGCATTCACGTGACTTTCGGTGTGACTTGCTGTCAAGTCACAAATGTCGACCCTATGAAGGAAGGCCCTCCAAAACACCCTGGCTGTGACGGCCCTGCTTAGCCCTTGTAAGCTCAAGGCTGTGGCTTCCTTTATGGAATCGCTCCATCCCATAGTTGGCCTTCCTCTTCTTGTTCTGCCTTGGATTTTCCCTAGCATGATTATCTTTTTCAATGAGTCTTGCCTTCCAAAGGCATGCCTTCCAATGGCAGCTTATTTGCATGATAGGCTTTTAGATATATTCTACTGTTTTAAGCCAGCCTTCTTCAGGCTGGTGTTTTCCCCGGACATCCATCTGGGCCAACTTAATGGCCAAGAGTGGGGGGTGATGGGAGTTGTTGCCAAGACATCTGAGGGGCATCAGCCTGGGAAAGGCTGCTTCTCCGCCATGATCCTCTGTAGAGTCAAAACACTCCTATTGTTTTTCTCTGAAGTCGCTTTCCTCCATTTGTACAAGGTTGGCAAGTGCAAAATTTGCAGGTGTTGTGAAACTAAGCCGTTACAAGAGTTTAACACACCCATAAACTATAAAATAATGGGCTGTAAAGAAGTCATAGTCACGTATTATCCTTGTCTTAAATACAGCTGGATCTCATGTACATGCCAAAGTCTTTTCACCCACAGGGCCAGGCATTTCAGTGTTGTGGCTATATTCTCTGGCTGAACACTCCCGCAGTTTACAAGAGTCACAAGGGCAGTAGCGCTGTGATGCGAAAGGCCAAATCTGGGTATATTCTCCCTTTTATACAACATTTCAGGGCCCAGAGCTGACCATACACCAGCTCAATATTGAAGCCATGGAATGCATTTGTCCCCAGAGCAGCAGCTGGATAACTTTCGAGCAGGAGTGGGTAACTTGTGGCCCTACAGATATTTTGGCCTAGATTTACTGTTACTGATGGCAATTTAGATTCTGAACGTAACGGCTTCATTGGTGGTGGGATTCTCTAGATAATAATGTCTATTGCTTCAGTTACTTCAGTCTGTGGTGATCCATACCTTCTGCACTGGGGAGCTGCTCCTGCTCATTTTGCAGAGTGAGGCCCTGGCCACCTATCCCAAAATCCTGCCCTGATGGCAGCATGGCTCCCCACCATGGAAGGAGGGACTCGTGGAAGAGGAAGCCCGGGAAGGGCATAAGCAGGAGCAAGTCCCAAAGTGGGGTCTGGAAAGCCAGGCTTCTGGGTTCTCTAGGGAGGGCTGCGACTGGAGTTCAGTGGCAGATTAGAGGCGGGTGTAGATTCTGATGGGTAAAGAAATGAGATGTGGAGAGCTACAAACTGTGCTCTCTTTTGAGGCTGAGAATGAGAGAGGGAGAGAGAACACATAAAGGGAGAGAAGTAGAGCTGGATGGTCTATAGGTAAGACCATCATGTCCAATCATTGTTCCACTTCTACAAGTGGTCCCCCATCCAACTGCAGTCCGGTGCCTTCCCAGCTTAGCAAAAATGATGCAACATGCTAGCTTGATGTACAGCTATGAAGGCAGATGGTGTCTAATTGAACTGAGGACCAGATCCACCTCAAGTCAAGATTCCCAAACAGGATCTTACTCTGTACAAGAGGCAGAGCAGAATGCAATTGTAAATGGACCAAAACCAAGGCTACAGATGGGAGATACCAGTTAGAACAAAGAATATCCCTGGCAGTAGAAAATTAGCACATAAAGCAAAACGAGTCTTGCCTGACTTTTTACTTGCTGAAATAGTTTTCTGTTTGCAGAGAATCCTTAATACAGGGAACAATTTTTTGGGAGGTGTGATCTCCCCATCCACAGTGTATAAGTGGTGCTGTTTACCCTGCCACAAGTATAGACACCAGACCTTCTCTTCTCTAAAGCATTGAGGGCCCCATCCCAGCCCTCTTTAGACAGAGAAGACCCCCATCCTGGCTGGAAAACACTGAGAACTGTAGGACATTTGTATGTGTAAACAGGCCTGAACCTTTAAATTTCTGAACCAGTAAGTGCTGGAGCTAAATCCTTATTAGCCCCACTGCCTGAGCTGAAAGCCTTTCAAGGGAGAGGGGCCTCTGCGCCAGCTTATGGCTCCTTGGAAGTTTGCCAGCTGGCCAGAAGAAAATGCAACAGCCTTCTCCAGTCTTAACAAAAGTTCTGCAGAAATCCCACCATGGGACTTATTATGGGGTCAGACTTGAGAGAAGGTGCATGCATCCCAGTGGCCATTTGCAAATTCATTGCAATCCTACGGCCGTGCACGGGAGCAGAATCTAGGGAGTGCTGTAATTCTTATTATCAAGCCTCCTTTGGTGCCATGGAGTGAAACAGGATCCCTGGGAACCCCATAGCTGGACCCAATTATCTCCTTTCCCCTGCAGTGATTCCAAATCCTTTTGTTGCAGCTCCAACGGCTACAAGGGCAGACCATTGGGACACCCCCATTATTTTGCCCAAACGTCCCATCATCCCTGGCTGGCTAGGATTGAGGGAAATTGTAGGTTACCAGCCGCTGAAGGATCACAAGTTGCAGTCCCTATAGCGTCAGTTGGGGCTGGTTCAGAAAAGAGGAAGCCATTTTCAACCAGTCCTGCTGGTTGCTGGCCCCCTTTTTTAGGGGATCAAAGAGCCTAAAGGCGCAATTCTATGCCAGTTTAAACAGAATTAAAGGCTTACAACTCCTAGAAACTCCCCAGCCGGCTCAAGTATCCTGGATTGCTTCATTTCCCTGCTGAGAAAAGCTTTCCCTGCGCAATTTCTGGCTGCGGGGATTTTTTTTCAATTAATTACTTAATTGCCATAAATGGCCAAAGCTCTCGGGGACGGGGTGGGCAGGCCCAGAGATTAACAACATAATACGGAACCATGACCATTCGTTAAAAAAAAAAACTGAACAGCTAAAATCAGTTACCTCGACCAGGTACACGTTTTAATAAACCAGGGGACAGCATTTGTCCAGAACACCACCTCCAGAGGCGCAAAGAGCCAACGAACAGTCTCAGGATGCCCCAAGGCTGTCGTTTTTGTTAAGCCTCGTTCTGGGGGGGGGGGCGTGCAAACGCGAGGGAAAGGGACAGACGCCCCTTCGGCGAGCAGCCCGCCGGCTCCGCGGGTGCGGGAGCAGGCCGAGCCCCGTCACGTGGCGCCGCGCAGGGCCGGGCGCTAGGACGCCTGGGTTCCCCTTTGCCCGGACTCCGCCTTGAGCAAACACTCAGCCCGGGCGCGTGGTTATTGGCGGCTGCGCACGTCCCTCTCGCTCGTCCGGACCATTCATTATAAAAGGGGCTCGAGTCCCTTTGTCCTGCAGAGCTCGGTTCTTGCTTCAACAGTGATTGAACGGAACCGGTTCCACCGCCTCGTTTGCTTTTCCGCGGATCACCCCCTTCCCTTCTGTCTCCTTGCCGGAGTTGCCCCGGAGAGCGACCGCCTGCATCCCTCCAGCCCCAGCACGACCTAGCAGGATCGGCTTGCGCCAGCCGGACGCCCAGCTGCCCCCGTCGCCCACCGTCGCCCGCCAGCCCCCCGGGAGCCATGGAGTCGCAGGTCCGCCAGAACTACCACAGCGACTGCGAAGCGGCGATCAACCGCATGGTGAACATGGAGCTGTACGCCAGCTACGTCTATCTGTCCATGGTGAGTCGGTTGATAGGGCCGCCCGTGTGCCCGGGCTACCTTAAAGGACGCCCTCCAGCTGTGGGGGACTGCAGCGCCCATCATCCCCAGCCCGCCTGCTGGGCGGTGGAGTCCAACACATCTGGAAAGCGTCGGCGTGGGGAGGGCTGGTATAGGGGTTTAGAGCCCCCGCACACAAATCACGAGGTAGTCCCCAAAGCATTTCCTTGTGTGTCTCTACCCCCCCCCCCCCCGGGTCCCGTTCCCCAGTGGCACTGGGTGTCGCTTAAACTTTTGCTCGACCGTCTCTGGATACGGTCCCCTTCTCTGCTAGAAGGCTATATGGATGGAAAAGGATCCAGGAAAGGTGAAGAAGAGCCCCACTCGTTTTCCTTTTAGTTAATCATCTCAAATCTCCCTTATTAGGAATTGTTTTCTCTCGACTTGGACTTCCTTCGAGGAAAAAAAGAAAGACAAAATAAACCCCAGCAACTTAATAGCAACTCTTTTTCCAGACGGTTCTAGGTACCTCTTTGGCTTTAAAGCAACATGCTCACTCCATGACTGGATGCTCGTAGCTCAGGAAAAAAGCAGAGGTTTAATTGTCAATCTCACCCATCCTCTTAAAAAGGGGGAGTAGTTTGCATGCCCCCCCCTTGGCTGCCACAGTTACTAATCTGCCTGCCCAGACAATGTAACTTCTCTTTTAGAATGTTTTATTCATTTTGTGGTTTCCCACCACCATCCTGGCTGCTCTCATTCTGTGTGTTTGGGCTGTTTCTTGGGCAGATCCAACACATGTGGGAAGAGGAGATAAGCCCTGCTGGGGTGGGGTGATAAAAGCACCCCATGGCAGTTCTTTGCTTGTTTCTTCCCTACCCTCATAATCTCCACTTCAGGAGTAGGGATAGAAAGATAGAGGTAGGGGTATGTGAGAGAGAGGAGGGGGAGAAGAATCAAAAGTCTGGTTCTTTGATACCCATGGCCATGTATCAAATCTCAATCTCTCTCTCTCTCTCTCTCTCTCTCTCTCTCTCTCTCCTTTTATTGGATCTTTCCGGCTGCTCTTTAATCCAGGACATCCAGCAGAAACCCTCATTAATTAAGAGGGTTTCTTATCAAGCACACCTCATTCCACTGTTCCCTACTTCACATCATAAGCATTCCTCCTCCTCCCTTATGAACAATAATGGCCATTTTGACTCAGGGACACGAGGAGTTGTCACTCACCACATCTGAGCAGTGCCAGATTGGGGAAGATGGCTTTGCATTCTAACATAATCCAGTTTTAAATCAAGACCATATGCCTGTGCTACAGAAGTATGTATTGTGTGGTGTAGTGGTTGAAGTGTTGAACTGCGACTTAGGAGATCTGGGTTGTGGTCCATACTTGGCCATGAACCTCACTGGCTCAGTTTGGAGCAGTTGTTGACTCTCAGCCTAATCTATTTCATAGGGCTGTTATGAGGATGAATGGAGAAGAGTATGTAAGCCCCTTTGGGTTCCTTGCAAGAAGAAAAAATAGAATATAAATACGGGGGGGGGGCGTGCAAAAGTAGGTATACAGTTATAAGAGTTATACAGAGTTCCTCAACCCACTAGCCTACAGGAATGTGTAAATGCTGAAGGACATTTGAGCACGTAAGAGATTGTACTTAATTGCAATTTGTATGTCATCCTTATTGTGACTTAATGCAGCTATTGTTTTTTCATAATAAAAACTGTATACCTACTTTTGCACCACTCTGTATGCATTGCATTCCTTCCAAGCTTGGAAGAACTACAGATCTCCAGCAAAAGGCTACTTGTTCGGTAACATAATCTTTACTCTGTCTTGCTCTTGTGCTTTTTTTGCATGTACGGTGTACTAGGTGTGTCAACTCAAAGGATTCTTAATCCTTTCTGCTCCTCATATCTTACTTTTTAGCAGTTGCATGTATGTATGGCAGATGTAATGCCTGTTAAATGGGGATTCGTTTTCCTCCCCTGTAGCATCAAAACAACATGCTTACCTTCAGTTTATCCCTTTTCCTGCAACAAGAGAAAACAGTCGCATACACAAATTACTGGATCAATGCAGACAAACTGGGGATGAGTTTGTTGTGTTTGTTTGCTCTGAAACGCTACTTAAGCAGCACTTCCAGGTTTGTAATTAGATGTTCTCGGCAATGGTGGTTGTTTCTGCGGCGGGGGGGGGAGGTGCTTGCTAACAGATTCAAGAAAGAAGCTTCTGTGTGTGTGGACAAGTCTAGAAAGTAGCTTGCTGGGAGCCATTTTGTGCAGGTCCTTTACTTAACTTTGACGAGTTAGACCAAAGCACTTGAAACTTCCCCAGAACTCACGATTAATTTTGGTAGTACTTCAAAACTTTGCAAATTCTCTCTGAACTTCCTGTTTTATCACTCCTTGCTTAGACCTGTTCTGCTTATCAGTGCTACCTCCCCCCTCCCCGCACATGCTCACACTCCTCTAGGTTTGTAGAGGTCTATGTTACCCACCTACCCTTCCTGAATCCAGTCTGGTGTTCTGTCCTGGGCAAACTGACTTCAAACTTGTAGAATCTACTGGGTGTTTGTTGCATGTTAGAACAACAAAGTCCACCACACAGAGTCAGGTGAGGACATGCCAAGACTGAGGAATAACACACCTCTGAACACAGGTTGAGAATTTGTGACAAATTCTATCGTCACAAATCTTAAAAGCAATTTGAAAGCTTTAAAAACACTACCAGCAGCATAATTTAGAGCAAAGGAAAACCTCAAAAAAGCCAGTGTTTACAATTAAAATATTAAAAATCCATATGGAACAAAGACATTTAAACAGCCTACCTAAAACTGAACAAAGAAGGAGACAGTCCAATTACCTTTGGGTTTGGGAAAGAGTTCCACAGGTGGGTGTGCTGTGCTTTTCACCTTTCTTGGTGGTGGGAGACACAGAAGGAATAGTGGGAGTTGGGAATACTGGCTGATCTCCAAATCACCCTGTGGAGCATGGGTGATCTGCTGCTTGCTGTGCTCCAACGAACCCGGCCCCTGACATCCTCCGTACCTTTTTCTCTTCTCATCTGCAGTCGTCCTACTTTGACCGGGATGATGTCGCCCTTCGGCATGTTTCTGACTTCTTCCGGTCGCAGTCACATGAAGAGCGGGAACATGCTGAAAAGCTGCTGAAGTTCCAGAGCCAGCGCGGTGGCCGACTCCTCCTGCAGGATATCAAGGTACAAAATGGAGCACCAGCAGGATCTGGGCTAGTTGGAGTTGGTGCATCCCAGCCTGCGGGAGTCCATGCTAAGCTTGCAGGGAAAGCATCCCCATCTGCAACATCTGAGCAACACTGCATTGACATGGGTTCAAGTCGAACCTCCGCCATTACTGAAAAAATGCTTCAGGAATAATTTTCACCTACCTTTGAAAGGGTTTTGTGGAGCTTAGCCTGTTTTCTCTCTACAGAAGCCAGAAAGAGATGCTTGGGGCACGACCCTTGATGCCATGGAAGCGGCCCTGCAGCTGGAGAAGCGAGTGAACCAGGCCCTTCTGGAACTTCACCAACTGGCCAGCAACAAGAATGACCCGCATGTGAGTATCACAGGAGCTGACTGGGTTGGGGGTGACACTGTTGCGCCAGTGGTACAGCAGCAGGTGGTTGTTCCAGCCTTCTCCAGACTGGTGCCCTCCAGGTGTGTTGGACTCCACCACCCAGCAGCCCAGGCCAGCATGATCTGAAATTTGGAAGTTGTGGACAAAACATCTGCGGGGGGTGGGTGGCAGATTGAAGGAGGTTATGTGTACACACATGCATGCAAATACACACATTTGGATATAAAGAGGGGTGGGACTCTGATGCTCCAGTCATGATTGAAGCAGATTCCATCAGCTGCCCCCATTGCTGAGGATAATAGGAGTTGTAGTCCAGCAGCAGAGGTTCGCCACCTGTTGCTTCTTTCAAGGGTTGTACTCCTCCCTCTGGGATAATTTGTTGATGGGAATGTGTGGCAGGAACTGGCAAGTTTAGAGGCAAAAGTGGGTTGGCCTCACTGGTTCTCTCCCTCCTTCCCAGTGGGCTGCTAGGAAAGGAACAGATGGCAAGGGCCTCAGGTTGCCCACCCCCATTCTAAGAGTCTTCCTATAGTAAACCTTGGCCGAAATGGGTAGGTTGCCCTCTTCATACAATGGCAGCAACAGCCATGCTGTAGGCAAGGGATTATGGGAAAGTCACTACTCTTATCATGGAGGATGGTGGAAGGAAGGAAAAGAGTAAAACTTTCTGGAGACGTGTCTGTGAGCTGGCCTGTACATCATACTGCCATTCCTGGATTGTTTAATCAAGGCATTGTAATGGCAAGTGAAGTGACCAGTACATTGCCTGCAATTAACAACCCAGGCACATTCTGTTACTGAGGTGTTCTGTGACATACAAACCTGGAAACTGGATTGTTCATGGGTTAAACAACCTAGAGGGAAACCAAAACCAAATATGGACACTTGTTGGGTTAACTCTGTGGTCCTCTGAATACCAACAGTGATTTTTACAGATGTAATTTCAAAATTAGTATTATTATGAGTTGCACTTCTATCTTGCCCCATAGCCTGAAGGCTCTCAGGGTGGGTTACAAATTCAAAAAATATATAAACAACAACAGAATTGTATTTAAATCACCCCCCAATAAAACCAATACAATGGCATCAACAACCCACAGCATCTATAATCAGGATGAGCACAGACACAGTAGCAATAATGATAAATCACTGATCCAGCAGCTTCGGGAGCAAACGGTTGGAAACATTTTCTTTTAACTGGGATGGCTGGTGGGGTAAAGTTCTTGAAACAAGACTGTGATCCCTGCTCTCAGCATCTTCCCCATTCCGTCTTTTTCCCCAGCTGTGCGACTTCTTGGAAACTCACTACCTCGATGAACAAGTCAAAGCTATCAAACAGCTGGGTGACTATATTACCAACCTCCGTCGGCTGACATCAACCCAGGGAGGACTTGGAGAGTACCTCTTCGACAAGCACACCCTCGGAGAGAGCAGCAGCTGAATGTCTCTCTGTTTCTGGGAATACTCCCCCTGTGAACCCACAGAAACTATCCCACTTCCACCGCAGTTCTGTGCCCCAGTCAAGGAGGGTTGTACCTGCCATGTCTCAGTTGGCATGTTCCCAATAAACAAGGGTTCACCAGTTTAATACTTGGCTCTGTTCTTCACGTGTGTATGTGTAGTGAAAACTTTTCTAGCATAGGAGTGGACAGAAAATGGACCGTTGGATGTTTTGGACTTCAGTTCCCAGCGTGCCTGATCCTTGGCCATGTTGCCATGGGAGTTGAAGTCCAAAACATCTGGAGACCTTTCTCCAAACCCCTATTCTAGCAGTTATGAAGATGCTTAATGATGGAACTCCTCATGATCAGGGAATAACTGGCCAGTTGTAGATTGATCTTATACAACATGTGTTTCTGGCCTTCACTGCTTGGTATGGGAGGAAAGACCTAATCATAGATCTGATTTGTACATGCAATAGAAGGAAGAGTTAGAATCCTAAGTTGGTAAAGTAGATTTAGCACACAACCTGAGCATGGTACATTCCTCAGCGTTTCCTAACTCAAAACAAAAAGCCTGAAAGTAGGAACCAGCAAGAAGCATGTTTGGATTGTCTTTTTTCCCCCCAGTGTTTATACGAGTTTTTTTCCCCCTTCACAGTAGTTTATTTTACAGGGGAGATAATATATTGAATGCCTCAAGTATGGAGCAACCTATAACCTCCCTAAGTAACTGGTTCCATTGTTACATTGTTCTAAAAGTACAGTCCACTCCCTTGAGATTCTAGTGACTTAAGTCTGAGAGCAGACCCTGGCCTTAGACCCAGCAGTGTGGTGATAAATCCTGAAGTTTAAACACTCATTGTGACAGGCCACATAGCCACTCCACCAAGGAGAGCCCCAAAATATGGGCATGTGCTGGTATGTCTCTCTCTGTATTATATATCCCTCTACATTTAAAAAGGGGACTGATTATGTATCCAAGATCAAGCCACTCCAAAATGTTTTGAATTACAACTAAGAATGTTATATCGTTGCTAGGAAAATCTACTTCCTCTCCAGCTGCTGTGAACCTTTCAGCTAAGCTCAGGGCAAATTTTATTTATTTATAACACTTCTATGCTGCACTCATTGCCGAAGCCTTGGGGCGGCTCACAAGGAAAACAAAGCATAGAACAATATTAAAAATTTGGAGTTGGCGATAATATAAAACCATTAAATAAAACACAGATTAACAATTAAAATATTGCTTAAATAAAAAGGTCTTGGCCTGGTGCCGAAAAACAAATAACGACGGCGCCAGCCAAATGGGTGCTTGAGGGGTTGGTCGATGAAACGGAGGATTCCTGTTCATGAGAACGCTCCAGCCCTTTTCAGCCCTGGCTTTGCTCCACCACCTCTCCCTCTTAGCCAGTGGGATGCGGCCAGTGTTGTCACCTACACTAACATTGCTTGGCAGGAGGCAAAGTGCCCTAAATGGCAAATGTGGGCAGTTGTTCGTATCTTTGAACTCCATCTTTAACACCTTAACAAAAGAAGGAAAACATTCTGAACGAATAACATAAATCATTCCACCCATGGCTGCACTCGAGAGATAACAAGGGCCTTGCTCCGGCTGAATACTGTAGCTCTTGTCCAATCGGAGTCTTGCAGCAATGAGCAACTTGGAAGCAACATCTGCTTTCCTTGGATGCTTGCCAAAACAGTGGCAGAATCAAGAAAACAGTACGTTCAAAAATCTACTGGGGGTGTAGAAGGAAGGGCCAAATTACATTTGTAATGTCATAAAATCTACATGCATTTAAGGATGGATGTATCCTAATCAGGCAGAAAATGTAGGATTCAATTTTAACAATGAACACTCAGCATGTAAGTAACTGGCAGTCAGTTGCTCAAAGCATGCCATTTTTTAATGGCAGGTGGCCACATAGGGAATCATGAAAAAGGGGGTTTGCGTGCATGATGATGGGGGAAATAAGGCACAGTGGCTTATTACACCCTCCACACACACTGCTCTGTGCCAAGAGAACTAATATAATGATCCTGAGCTTGCTGTATTGTGTAGAGCAAGCCCTACAGCACCTGTGGCAGCAAACCACCCAGGGCAGGCTCGCCTGAGATGACAAGCTATGCTGTTGGAGGTAATTATGTTAACTATCCAGCACATGACAGGCATCCCCTGATCTTGTGAATGGGTCAGTCATCATGGGTACTCTCACAAAATGGTTGGCCTAGAGGCAGAGCTTGCCCATTCACAAAATGGCTGCCATGGTGGGCACGGCCTGTCACAAAACAAAACAATCAAGAAAGGAAAATGAAAAGAAAAAAAACATTTTAGCCAAGTACCCTACCATTAAAAAAAATCTTCAGTGCAGCAGCATACAAAAAACCCAGACAAACCCCACCAATACTCGCATACACAAGAGGCACGAAGTCCGTCTTTGTCACGCCTGAGCCCCTCACGGTGTTACTTGTCACTCTCAGATTATCCTTTTATTTTAGGGTTTTATTTTACTGGGCTGCAGCCACCCACCTTTTTTAAATTTTCTAAGAATGCCTGTCGGTTCCATGTGAGGTCGAGTGGTATTTCTCAAACTATAGATGGTGCTCAAGGCTGATATGTCATTTTGCAGTATGCCAGGCTCTCTGTTAAAAGAAACCCTCTTTTAAATTGTAAAATATTTTTACAAATAGAGATCAGGAGGGGTAGACCCCCTGGTAGGCACCAAGAGAATCGTCCCGTCATATTTGAGACCAAAGGGATCACATTGGAGACACCAACTGTACTCTCTTCCCAGCTGGAGGCCCTCCAGAAGGTTTTGCTTATGATTTCCATCAGCCCTACCTAATATAACCATGAAAATACGTATTTTTGCAAACTTTAATATTAGTCCATGGCTGCTGCTATTTCCCTTCTTGTATATGGATCGTGCCTTTTGGCTGAATAAGGGTCCTATCCACCAACGTGCGCACGCACGCACAGAATAGATAGGGATGGAGAACTTGGACTGCGGAAGCATGGCTGTTCTTTTGCTGTATTTCTCACTCACTCTTGCCCTGAGTTTTGACATGACTTGATATAGCAGTGTGTCCTGTCTCAGTTGAAATGCATTTTCCAGCAGCAGCTGCCTCTGGAAAGACTGACAATTTCTGAATAAAAGCAGTCTCTTTAAGCCATGGAAGAAAAGATGGAATGTGGTGTGTTTAGGGTTGTCAGATCAAGGGTTTTAGAAAGAAGGATGTTTACTTTCCTGTGGGCCAGTTTGAAGCAGCTGGAGGCAAGAAATGGTGGTTTGGAAAACAGAGCTTTATAGCACAGTGGCTCAGTCTTTATAGAAACTATTAATGGGTTCCACAGCCTTCACCTCCAGTTCACTCCTTATTTATTTAAATGTATGTTTTAATACAGTCCATCAGCAAAAAAGCTCTCACTAAATGTTTCTGTAAACTAAAGGTAGGCAAATTGTGGTCTTCTAGATGTTGTTAGATGTTGTAATTCCCATCATGAGCCAACACAGTCAATGGTAAAGGATGTTGAGATTTGTAGTCCAACAACACCAATTCCTCAGCCCTGCCTGAAACAAATCAAAGGCTAAAATGAACTGAGGATGTGTGTTTTTCCCATCTGGGCAATGGCCGGGTATTAGAGGTCAGATGCTGGAGTGAGATAGATATATGTGTGAGCAAGCACTTATAGTTGCTAAGCAGCCACTCAACATGCTCCTCCATCCCTGAGTTATATACCAGGGCTTCTTCTATAAGTCACTCTGTGTGCAAGAGCAAGAGAAAATACAGGCCAGAGAAGAATGTTTATTTGGAGTCACTGAGATGGCCAAGAGGTGAGGTATTTCAGAGATGGCTTTCTCCCTTGCCAGTCTGCCCAGTCACTGAGGTAATCTGAGGAGATGCTCCTGGTAGTTCTGCCCAAATCTACAGTCCATCTGGAGTTGATCCTTCAGTGTATCAGTTCCCTCTCTGTGGAACTCCCTGCCTCTTGATGTCAGGCAGGCACCAAAGCAGTTTTGTTTTCGGTGCTGCTGCAGACATTTTATTTGAACAGGACTTCCCTGATGGACCAACCATGCTTTTAGAAGCATAACTTGATTTTAAATACTTTAGAGTGCAAACCTATGGACTGTGTTCTTGCAGTATGGAAGCCCCAAACGCCAAGGCTTCTGAGGCTCCTGTGCCCAGCTGGGCTGGAGCCTGCGAAGTGGGAGGTGTAGTGCAGATCCTGTTTGCTTCCACATCCTCTGTCACTTAATGTTTCCCTAGGCAAGTTTTTTACCCTTCCCACTTTGGAGTGGAAGAAAAGAAGGCTGAAGGAGGCTCGGAATAAACAGCATCTTGTCCTCCAGTCTCCTCCCCTCCCTACCCACTGGAACATTTCCTTTCCACCCCAAGTTTTCTGATCTTATGAAGGTGGCCTGTGTAGCGCTCTCTGTGCCAGATGCAGGGGGTGGGGAAGATGGATCTCCCACCTTGGAAGGAGTAATTCCACCCATCCTGTAGCCCCTGGGACACTTGCCGAGCAACCACAGGATGGTTCTCTTAATTCTGTATGTTGATTCTCCCTTTTCTCCCTTGTCTTTGTTCACTGTCCAGGATATTATTAGATACACAGCAGTGCACACAAACAAACAAATGGAAATGTGGGATGTAACTGATTACCAAGGACTCGTATCTCGCAGGCTGCCCTGTTCTCGGCCACTGCAACCAGCTGCTGCTGTACCTTGTCCCTGTTGCAGCATTGCTTGATGACCTAAAAGCCAGCAGGCAGGGGTACTTGCTGTTCCTCCTCCTCACCAGCCCCAGCATTCAAGGGCAGGCAAGATAAGACACAGTCGCCTGACAAAGGCCGGTTGGATGTGCTCCTCCCTCTTCGCCATCTCAGCCCACTTGTTTACCTGCTTCTCGCTCTGGCCCAGAGAGTGGCGATGGTGGTGAAGAGGAGCAACTGCAGCCGCCCCGGCCCACCTGCTCGCTGGCACAGAGCAGACAACACGGGGCTGGAGCATCCGTGGAGGTTTTCTTTCCAGGTACGGGGTAAGACTCCGTCCTTGGATAGTGTACTAAGCTCATGGCCTGTCAGCAGCTTCACTCCAGGAATAATACATAGTTACAGTCTCATTCTTTGGCCCATTAAATG